AGGTGGTGATGTCACACACCTTTTATCCCAGTACTCGGGAGGCAGAGGCAGGTGGAGTTTGAGCCAGCCTGTTCTACAGAGTGAGTAGACAGCCAGGGCTACACAGAGAAACTCTGTCTGGTGGAAGGAATGGAGGGGGTGATGGAGGGAGAGAGGGAGAGAGGATGGGAGGGAGGAAAGAGGAAGGAAGGAAGGAAAGAAAGGAGGAAGGAAGGAAAAGGAAAAAGGCTATGACTGACTCAATCTAGCATCTGATACTTGTTTCCCAGGCTCAGTTTCCCGCTCTGTCGAGCAGGAATGAGTAGCCCCAGGCAGGGCTGGCAGCCTGCTCGGCCCATGCTGGAATTATCAGTCAGGATCCAGCAGGATTCTTGCTGAGCCCAGTTCCTTCTATACCACCATCCTGTCCCCAGGAGCTTGGCTAAAGTCCTGAGGATAGGGAGGGCCAGGCAGGTCTGGACAAGATGCTAGGACGAGGTCCCCTCTGCCTGATCCCCCAAGGATACATTCCTTCAACTCCTCATTCCATAGGTCCTTTTAAGTCAGAAAAGATGGCCAAGAATTGGTCCCTGAGGCTAGGGGTGGAACAGCACTTGCCTAGAGTGTGGCAGGCCTGGATTCTATCACCAGCACAAAGAATAGATTCCCCTCCCCCATTCTCCCTCCCCCTTCTTCCCTTCCTCAGTCTTCTCCTTTCTCTTTCCTCCCTCCTTTCCTCCTCTCTCCTCTCTCATCCTCACTTTTCCCCCTTCCTTTTCTCTCTCCCTCCCTTTCCCTTCCTCTATCCCTCCTTTCTTTCCTTTCTCTCTCTCTCTTGTTTTCTCCCCACTTGTTCTTCTCTCTCCCTCCCCCTTCTTCCATCTTCCCTCCTTTCTTCTTTGTTTGGAGGCAGATCTCAGTGAGTAGCCCACAGCCACTGGAGCTCAGGCTCTCCTGCCCTGGCTTTCCAAGTACTGATATATCAGGCCTGTGTCACCATGTCTAGCTTCAAACTATCTTTAAATCCTAAATACACATTTTTTTTATGATAAACTAACAAATACATATGTAATAGAAGAAATTAAAGTAAATGGCAGAAAGGGCTACACAGAGAAACTGTGTGGATGGATGGATGGATGGATGGATGGATGGATGGATGGATGGATGGAAAATTGACAGGTTGTTATCTGTAGAGAGGGACTTTGGAGGAAGAGACAGAAGGACAGAGCCAGGATCTGGAGGAGTGTGTGGGAAGGAGTTAGAGGTTCTCTCAGGAAACCTGGAGCACTGAGAAAAGATGAATGGGGTTCTGTTCTGGGAGCGCTGTCTCTCTGTCCCTATCCCCACTGAAGCTTCTCCCTAGAGTATATTTCAAACCTGGAAAGTCCCAGCTGCCAGCCTGATGCTTGGTATACTGTGTTTAAAAGAAACAAAATAAATCAAAACACTGGTTGATTAAAGAGATGGACTCAGTCGCCAGTTAATCCCAGACCAAGTGTTAGTCACTCCTGTCTTCCCCTCAGACACCTCCCTCCAGCTCAACAACAACTCTTAGGCTGCCATCTACAGCTGTGTAAGCTGTCTATTGCCCATCGCCATACATGAATAACGCTTCCTAACATGGGGATGAGGCGTGGTTACAAAACACCACTTCTTCCTCTTCAAAGCTCAGGCAAAGTGGAGTCACACAAGAAGGAAAGGGGTCAGGGAACCTCCCCACCCAACACCATGGGCTCTTCCTGAGTCTTCTCTCTGGTTCCTAAAGCCTGAGCCTTTGCTTCCTTCTAGTCTGGGTTTGAGATGACTTTTGGGCAACAGGCCAGTTCTCTGTTCCTAGACTTGAGTCCAGAGCTTTAGTATGACCTTGGAGGAGTCCTAGGACTTTGCTGCATCTCTGTTTCCACATAAGAGAAGTGAGCGAGGATATTGGTTAGCACTGCTTGCCTGGCATACAGGAAGCCCTGGGTTCCATGTTCAGAACCAGGCAGGCCCCTGACCTCCTGTGTCTTTCAGCCACAGAGCAGCCAGCCTTTTGGGGGGGGGGGGCAGCCTGATGAACACTAGATGTGGGGAGTCAGTGCAGAGAAAGATGGGGTTCATGGAAGATTACCATGTGGGTAGAGTGAAGGAAGAAGAGCCACAGATAGGAAGGAAAGGACCAAAGTGTCCCCAAAGACACCGTGGGACTGTTAAACAGAATGCTCATCCTCCTTGCGCTCATCATTTTAAAAGGAAATGGAGCTCACTGTTGGAAGAGGTCAATAGGTCGGCCGAGGGAGCAGCAGAGTGCTGAGGGTTCAGGACTGGGGACCATAAGAATTCCAGGCCCCTGTCTTCTCCCCATCCACCTTCCCTTCCCACTTCCTAGCCCAGAGGAGTGTCCTGCTACTGGCTGGGGCAGCAGAACCCTGCTCAAGTACTCACACTCATGTCTATCTCACCACCACCACCCCACCCAGCCTGCCTCGGCCTCAGCCTTATCATAGGGCTTACCCCAAAGGCATACACAAGTTGAGAGCTATGCAGACCCACTGAATGACATGGCAGAGTGGATTTAGGTGGGACCAGTCTGAATCCCACCTGTGCTTAGTTCTAGCTGGAGGATCTTGGCCAATCACTCCTCTGTGCTCAGTTTCTCCAGTTTAATAAAGAGCATAAAGAAACGCCATGCAGATGACGAGGCTACAGAGGCACACTCTAGGCTCCAGCCCCCACTGCTGGAACAAACAAACCAACAAACTAACTACCTGCCTAACTAGCACTAACTACTCTGAGCTCCTTTCTCAAGTTTCGAAGAGCGAAACTGGCTTGAGCAGAGCGTCAGCTACAAAAAGAGTGTGTCCTAGCCTGACTGGGGGCTTGCTGGGAAGGGAGATGGAGCAGCACAGAAAAGGCAACGTGCCAGCCTGCCTGTCTTCGTCAGAGTCACTAATGCTGTGATGAAACACCATGAGCAAGAGCAAAAGGGAGGAGAGTTTATTCCACTCACAGTTCCATATCCAAAGCGGTAAGGACGGAAAGTCAAGCAGGGCAGGAACCCGGGGGCAGGAGCGGATGCAGAAGCCACGGAGGAGTGCTGCTTGCTTGCTGGCTTACTTATGCCTCATGGCATGCTCATAGAACCAAGGATCACCAACCCAGAGATGGCACCACCCACAACAGGCTGAGCTCTTCTCCATCAGTCAATGATTAAGAAAATGCCCTACAGGCTTGCCTACAGCCAGGTCTGAGAATGGCAGTTCCTCAGTTGAGGCTCCCTCCTCTCTGGAGACTCTAGCTTGTGTCCAATCGACATAAGACTAGGCAGCACACCACCAGAGATGGCTTCAAGCTTGTCTTCCTATCACGAGCTGTGTTCAGTTCGTCAGTAGAGGAGGGACTACAGCCTAGATTCTAACTGTCTGTCATTCTACAGGGAGGAGCTTTTGGGATACAGCCCAGCTCTACCAAGCATCCAAGACCAGCAAAGCCAAAGAACAGGGAGATTCTGCGACAGGCTGGATCTCCTCTATGCTGTCCTCACTAGGGGGATTTGGATCCGAAAGTGGAGCCTCAGAGCCTGCCTCAAAGGCTATTGTAAGGGTGTACAGGCAATAGGGATGGCACACCAGCTGAGGCCTGGAGGGCTCCACAGCTGGGCCTCCTTCAAGGCACCTGGGAGATAAGAGACTTGCAGACCTGAGTGTAAGAAAGGGGAGCTGGAATTTCCTCATCTGATCAGCAAATCAGCAAAACCTTAGTCCAGCCCACCCTGGTGAGCTAGGCCTGTAGGCTCCTGCATCTGAAGGGTGAGCCTGCCTTCCTGGCAGAGACAGCTGCGCTGGCCGAAACAGGTTTCCTCTACAGGTAGGCTTGCTGGGTCCTCTCCAGCAGCTGGGCACCTGATCAGGTGTGGAGGCGGGGGCTACAGGCTGACACTTCTAAAAATAGAGCCCCAGAGCCTGGGAGTCAGTCAGGTGTGTCTGCCACTCAACCTCTCCAGCACAAACACCTGGTACAGATCCAGCGGATACTGACTTGGGTCCAGCCCTGTTGACGGCTAGGCCCCCTTATCCAACCCCTTATAAACAGCAGCCCATCTCCCACCCCCTACCCCCCCCCCCCAGATCTCTGGGCTGGGACATCAGCCTCCCAAGGTCAAGCCTGATGGCCTCCTTTGCTGCTGTGTCTTCCCTGTCTCTAGTGGTCCTGGCACATGGAATGCTCAGCAAATGAACGCTCTTTCAGTGACTGCCTCTCAAGTTATGCAGCATTTGTGTGAGAGAATCTCTGCTGCTAAAACACGTTTCAATTTAGCCAGCAGGGGCTGTGGCTGTAGCTAAGTTGCCTAACATGTACAAAGCCCCGGGTTCAGTCCCCAGTAAAGCCAGGTATGTAGCTCATGGCCATAATCCCAGACCTTGGAAGGTAGAAGCAGGAAGATCAGAAATTTGGTGTCATCCTTGGCTGCACAGAGAATTTGAGGTCAGCCTGGAACACATGAAACCTCATCTCAAAAATCAACATTAGATTGAATCAACAATAGTGTGTAGGTGTACTTAACATCACATCATGGGGCCAGCAAGATGGTTCAATGGCTAAAGGCAAGGGCCTGACAATCTGAGTTTAATCACCAGGACCCATGTGGGGAACTGGCTCTTAAAAGTTGTCCTCTGGGGGCTGGAGTGATGGCTCAGTGGTTAAGAGCACCATCTGCTCTTCCAAAGGAAACGGGTTCAATTCCCAGTACCCACATGGCAGCTCACAACTGTCTATACCTCCCATTTCTAAGGGATCGGATACCTTCACACTAATGCACATAAAATTAAATAAATTATTAAAAAAAAAGTTGTCCTCTGACTACCACATGCCAACCATGACACCAGCACACACACACACACACACACACACACACACACACACACACACACACTAAATAAATATAAGAGTTTTCTCATTATGACCTCATATGTTCCTGAAGATGTTTGCTGCACTATGTGAAACATCAGTTTCCCAAAAGTGTGTCCATGGCTGCCACTTACTTCATGACAATTGCCTGGATCTCGAATGTGTTGTCATTCTCCATGAGCTGGTTCCTGAGACACAGGAGCAGGTTGGCTCACAACTGTAATCCTAGAATTTGAGAGATGAAGGCATCAGAAGTTCAAGGTCATCCTCAGTTACACTGACTTCTAGGCCAGCCTTAAGCCACATGAGACCCTGTCTCAGAAAAAAAAAAAAAAAAAAGGCTAAAGAGATAGCTCAGCTGTTAAGAGCGCCCACTGCTTTTACAGAGGTGCTTGATTCTCAGCACCCACACTGGGTGGCCCACGATCTCTTGTAACTCCAGCTCCAGGAAATCTAACGCCTTTCTCTGGCCTCCATGAGTACCCGCACTCATACGCACATCCACACACACAGACACTCATGCACTGTGGGGCACACAGGCTGGGTGATAGGGACAATAGGCATGAGGCTGCAGTGAGGTCAGAGACCTGTCCAAACTCCAAAAATCTCCTCCTGAGGTCAGTAGGTGTAGGACCCTTCCTTCCCTGCATGCCCCAGGGCACTTAGGCTGTCGGGGGGGGGGGGCAAGCTCTCAAGGAGGTCACGATCAGTCATGCAGCTGGCACCTGGATGCAAACCATAGAATCACCAGCATCCCAGCCACAGCCAATGAAATGCATGCACCCTGAAAACCCCTTCCCACCCCCCAAGGTTAATATAGTACTTGTTCACCCTGAAAACCCCTTCCCACTCCCCAAGGTTAATATAGTACTATGTTCGCCAAGGAATAGACCGACACAAGCTGCTTTACTAATAACCATGCATAAGCAGTTTCACTAAAACCGTCCAACAGTTGCTGTTTCACTGGGATAGCTCTGAACAAAGAGAACTGTAAGGCTAAAATCCTCGGAGAAAGCCTTCTGCTCCCCTCCCCACCAGCCTCCCACCCCAAGTTCCACTGGAATCCTGCAGACCCCACCCATTCCGGGTTTGGCCTCATCTTTCCCAGCTTGGTGTCTGGCAACGCCTGGACTTCCCAAAAGAGGAAGCAGGACATGGAACCACAGTGCATATGCACAAATAAAAATAAGTCTTTGAAAACAACAACAAAGAGTGCCCGTGGGTCCCTGTTCCTACTACCACACATCCAGCACTGCCCTGTGATGAGACCAGGGTACCAACACCCCAAGTTCATGCGGCAAAACACGAAGCACAGCTCAAGAAAAAAAGTGAATTAGAAACTGAATGTGCCCCTGGCACACCACGGTCTGTGTTTCACATCTCCACACAGCACCTGGAACTCTCCAGAGCCCTAGCTAGGCAGTTCTGGGCTGTCCCATTCACCCAAGGTGCAAACAGTTTGCGGGGAGGGAGCTATCCCCAGGACACAGGAGGGTTGTGGGGAGCACTGAGGAGCAGCAGCTTTGGGCCTTGTGGAGAGTGAGAGGGGACCCCATTTTTTGACAGAAAAAAAAAAAACACCTTAGCCAGAAGCACTGTGCTGGGAGGTGGGCAATCATGAGACCAGGTCTGAGCTGCAGGGACCCCCCAACCAGCTTTCCTACAGCCTGCCACAAGTGGAAATGTAAGGATGCCCTAGGTCATGGCCCATGGGTGGGTGACCAGGAAGATGCTTCAGAATAGAGGAACTGCAGATGTGAAAGAACAAAGAACCTTCTGGAAAAGGGATGGAGGCATAGCCAAAGTCATTGGTACATCAGGCTGTTTTGTTGTGTTGTGTTGTGTTGTGTTGTGGTCGATTTTCACCTCAGGGCTGGCCAAGTAGCCAGATCTGTGCTGGGCCTCATGACACCCATGGGGAGGGGGGCAGGACTGAGCATCAGGGATGGGGAGGGTGTGCCATGACCAAGGGGCCAATCAACAGGTGGGGCCCTGATCCCACCTTGCATTGGACGACTTGAGAATGGGCTATGTTAGAAAGGGGAGGTAGCCAGCAGGCGGCCTCTGGACTGACCTAAAGCCAACTTAAAACATCCCAATCACTAAGGGAAGCCAAGGCAGGAACTCAAGCAGGAACCTGGAGGCAGGAGCTAAGGCAGGGACCATGAGGAATGCTGCTTCCTGCTTTGCTCTCCTTGGCTCCCTCAGCTAGCTTTATCATACAAAACTCTTAGCCCCAGTGGGCTGGGCCCTCCTGCATCAATCATTAATGAAGAAAATTCCCCCACAGACTTGCCTCCAGGCCAGTCTGATGGAGTCATTTCCTCAATTGAGGTTTCCGATTCCGTGATGACTCCAGCTTGTGTCATGTTGGCAAAAAAACAAAGCAAAACAAACAAAAAGAGGCTAACCAGTGCAGTGTGTTTGGTGTTTGTGTGCGATAGAGTGTGTTTGTGTATACGTTTGTGTGGATGCGTGGCTACAGCCACATGCATGCCACAGCACACATGGAGAAGTCAGAGGGCAGCCTCAGGCATCAGCTCTCACCTTCCCCCTTGTTTGAAAAAGCATCTCATTCCGAGCTGCATAAGCCACGCTCCCATCTCCATTTGCCTTCTCTCCACAGGGGCTCGCTGGGCTGACAGACCCCTGCCTGGTATATCCAGCAGTTATGCGGGTTCTGAGGGCCAGAGCTCAGGGCCAGAGCTCAGGGCCAGGGCTGTGTGGCGAACACTTTCCTCCCTGAGCCATCCTCCCCCTCTCCACTTGCTTCCTGGCCAGCACAAGGTAAGCTTCTCTGGACTGCCAAGCCCTCCTTGCCAAGATGGACTGAAAATCTCTAAGACCAAGAGCCGACGTTAATCTTTCCTTCCTCAAGTTTTTCTCACGCATTCATCAAGGCCAGGGAACGCTGACTAAGACAGACAGAGGTAATGAAGCTCAGATTTATCTGTGTGACACACAGCTGGGCCTCCAGAAATGTTTGTTGACTGGATGAAGTCATTAGAACCATAAGTCAGCTAAGAACAAGCCCGAGAAGTTGGCATGAAGCAGAGGCCGGGGTTCTAGTCAGAGTAGGAAGTCCCCACAAGCACACACTGCCACATCCCGCATCCTCAAGCCCGTGCCTGCTGGAGAAATGAGGTATGGCTGGCACCAGCCGTGGCGAGGCCTGTGGAGGGTGGGTGGGGTCACTGCCGGGCGCTCCCAGTCTCCAGAGCTCCCCACCTGCCACACCTGGGGAAGGACAGCACTTTTCTGGGCTCTGGGGCTAAGAAGCAGGCCCTCTGCCAACTCAGCAGGGGACTTTGGGTATGCTGACAGTGGTCATCCTACCACAGCCTCTGCCAGAGCTGTCCACCAGCCTCGGCCTGGAGTAACTGGATGGCAGGTGGTTTCATATGCTCAATAAGAACCAGCATACACACCTCTGTAGCGCTCGACGTAAAAAGCCCTTTCCTAAGCAATTCACTTCCATTTGATTATTGTGATGATCCCATGAGGGGGACAGCGTTCCTGTGCCCATTTTATAGTTTTGGAAATTATAGGAAGCCAAGGCTATATTTTTACTTTCAATTCTTACACTATAACATCGATCTTCTTCATGGCCCTCCACCTTCCTCCTCCTTCTCCTCCTCCTGAGATAAGGCTTCACGGTGTAGCCTGGTCTGGCCTGACACTCATTCTGTAACCTTGCCTTAGCCTCCTGAGTGCTGGGATTACAAGCAGGTACATCCAGCTATCATGTCCCAGTCTGTGTGATATGTGTATCCGTGTGGTGTGGATATATGTTAGCTACGTGTGTAGTGTGTGTTATGTGGTATTTGTGTGTGATACATGTATATACAGTGTGTGGTGGGTGTATGACCTATGTATGTGTGATGTATGTGAGGGTATGGTATATAATATATGTATGTATCATATGTGGGGTTGTAATATACGTGTGTGTTAGATGGGTGTACATGTGTTGGTGTATGATGTGTAGTATTTGTGTGTGATATATGTACATGTATGTGTTGTGTATGTCATGTGTAGTATATGTGTGTGTACATGTGTAGGGTGGGGTTTATGTGTGTGTTGTGTGTGATGTGTAGTATTGCGTGATGTGTGCATGGGTATGTGTGTACGGTGTATGTGTGTAGAGTGGTGTGTATGTTTGTGTATGCTCACCTATGTGACCTCTGCATGTGTCAACATTGGGTGTTTCCCTCCATGGATCTTGACCTGGATAGTTTTATGTCAACTTTACACAAGTGGGAGTCTTCTGTAAGGAGGGACCCTCAGTGGAGAGAAGGCCTCCATGAGATCCAGCTGGAGGGCATCTTCTGAATTAGCAATTGATGAGGGAGGGCCCAGCTCATTGTGGGTGGCGTTATCCCTGGGTTGGTGGTCCTGGGTTCTATAAGAAATCAGGCAGAGCAAGTCATGGAGAGCAAGCCAGTAAGCAGCACCCCTTCGTGGCCTCTGCATCAGCTCCTGCCCTGTTTGAGTTCCTGTCCTAACTTCCTTTGGTGATGCACAGTGCTGTGGAAGTGAAAGCTGAATAAACCCTTTCCTCCCCAACTTGCTTTGGTCATGGTGTTTTGTAATAATAATGATAACCCTAACTAAGACAGATCTCCAGCTATTTTTTGAGGCCAGTCTTGCCTTGAGGGACTTGCTGCTTTGGCAAGGCGGGCTAGCCCTAGACCTGCCTGACCTGTTAGTCCAGGGATGCTCTATTAACTCCCCACAGATCTTCCTGCACAGGGCTTGGATCTTCCTCAGGGCTCGTGACTCCAAGACTCAGCAGGTAAATTTCAGGGAATGGTGAGAGGGTTCAACATAACAGTTCTCAATGACGATTTCACAGGGGTCACCCAAGACCATCGGAAAACAGATATTTATACTATGATTCATAAAGGTAGCAAAATTACAGTTATGAAGTGGCAATGAAAAAAATTTTATAGTGGGGGGTCACCACAACCTGAGGTCACAGCATTAGGAAGGTTGAGAACCCACTGGTTTAACAGGTAAGGCAGGCTGCTGCTGGGCCTGAGGCTTATCTCTGGGACCCACATGATGGAGGGAGAGAACTGATTGCCTCAAGTTGCCCTCTGACCTCCACACCCACACTGGGACGTGAGGGACCACACACCCTCTCACAAGCTCATACCCAGCAGTGTTCTGATGATAGGAAACATCCTGGTGTGGGGCTGAGGCAGCTAGAAAGGAGAACTGGGCTTCGTAAGAACAGGGTATGTGGGATATGGCCTTCCCAGTCACCTTCAGAGAACCACACTCTTCTAGATGCTGAGGACCAATGGCTGAGAGGTGGGGTTTGGGATACAGGGAACCACGCTCTTCTAGACGATGGCTGAGAGATGGAGTTTGGGATGCAGGGAACCACACTCTTCTAGATGCTGAGGACCAATGGCTGAGAGGTGGGGTTTGGGATACAGGGAACCACACTCTTCTAGATGCTGAGGACTGATGGCGGAGAGGTCGGGTTGTGGGTCCCACAGTGATTCTGCATATGGGCTAAGCATTCAGTGATTTCCCATATCTCCCCATGAAATACACTCCTAGACCCCTCCGTGACCCCCTCAAGGTCCCCTCCTACCTATCCAAGCCCTGTAGAGAGAGCATCAGGGCTAGTGAGTATCACAGCTTGGGAGTAAGGGTGTTTGCCACCAAGTCTGACAACCTGAATGTGCTCTTCAAGCCCCACATGCTAGGAGAACACACATGATTCACGGAAGTCGTCCTCTGGGCTGCATGTGCTCATGGTACATATGCACCCACACACATGTGCAAACAACAAATGTTAAAAAGGAAAAAAAAAGCTAAAGAAAGGTTATCCAAATCTCTCACCCTCTTGAATCTTCCCTCAGCCCTGTAGTCTGGGGAGCCCGACTCCGCCTCACCACCAGGACACAGGCTGGCTCCATACGCTTTGAACCAGCTGCTCCTGCCCTGGCGCACCGAGGCTCCACACTATTCCAGGGTGGCGGACTCATTTGAGTTGCCTTGGTTTTCCCCCATGCTGTCTGCTCTGCCCCAGACAGCTCACCCCCCACGCCCCTACACGGCCGCAGCATCAGCTGTCCACACACCTATCACTTGTCACCAGCCAGGCCCTGGGCCCTGAGCTTTGGACGCACTGATTCATCTGCTCCTCACCCTGAAGAAAGTTCACCAGTTCCATTCACTGTTTAGACAGAAACTGAAGCTGAGCAGGACTGAAGGGTGATACATCTCTACCATCTGCTGCTCTCCCCGGGGTCACACTGGGCATTCCTTGCCGAGGACGCTCCCTTCTAACACCCCCAACGCACATACACCCCCAACGCACATACACCAGGCAGGCAGAACTTTCTCTTCCAGCCACTGCTCTCTAAGGTACTTTCTGTGACTCCATCCTCAGAGACTGACTTTTGCCTTTCCCTCTGTGGCACAGACTTGTGAGAGCTGGGGTTGGGCCTGGCCTGAATCCCTACCCACCTGGACCCAGCACCAAGCTACCAAGCTGACCTCCAAGAAACACTGCTGTTCGGAGAAGTGGGCAGTGGAATGGAAGGCCCCCTTCCCTTCCTGCCTCTCTCCCACATAGCCATCCCCATACCCCCTCCTGCCTGTCTCTTCACCACTGCACAACCAGGATCACATTTCCTTGCTCTTGCCTTGCTCTGGGGTTGGACCCTGAAAACTATGAAGGGGAACCCACCCTGAGCTCAGTGTGGGAGGAGCTGGAATCAGAGTCAACTCCCTTCAATCACTTCCCCCATTCAAAACGGGTTCAGCCTGACCCAGCACCTGGTCACCTACGGCTTTAGGGGTGATTGTATGTGTGAGGGACAGAGGAGGCCCACAGGGGAGAAACAGGAGAAGAGCCATCGGGATCCATCTCCAGCAGCCATTATTTAATGAGCATGGAGTTAAAAATAGCAGCCAAGAGCAGGCAACAGACAAGAGAGCATGCCAAGGGCCCTGGGGACAGCAGAGCCCAGCTCCTGACTTCCCTCTTTCCAGGAGGAATAGGTTGGGGATTCTGTCAAGTGTCACACACCCAACCGTGCCTTCCCAGGTGGCTCCAGCAATAGGTTCTGTACGTCACAGACTGTAGAGTTTCACAGCACGAAGTGTGGACTTTAGACCCCATCGGAATCTGGTAGGGGATGACTGAATACCTGCCCCTTCATATACCAATGTCCAGAGTGGGAGACTGAGGTTCAGGAAGATGTGACTGGCTCGAGGTCATGCAGAGAGAGGCTAGAACAGGGCCTCCTGGCTCCCACCTCAGGCTCTATGCACTGTGCTATGTCATGTCAATGGGATCAGATGTCACAGGCTGGAGTATGTCTAATTTCATGCTGTTATGTCAGCAGTGGGGAGGGGAGTGGCTAGGAATGAGGGGTGGAAATAAAGAGGTGACAAAAAGACAGTAAGGCGAGGCACAGGCAGAGCGCCCAGTCCCCCTCCCTCCCCTGAGAAGTCTGGTCAGGTGTAGCGGGTGGGACCAGGCTCAGCATGGAGTGCCCTAATTAGCTCCTGGTGACAGTTTCTGGCTTGTGTGTTATCACCTTGGGCCTCTTGTCTTTATCAGAACCAAAGGTTGATTGGAGGCTCTGGCCAGGGCTCAAAGCAACTTCAATTCTACCAAGCATTTATGACTATAGTGAATGAATAATAACTCTCTCTCCCCAGAGGCCAACACCTCCCAGAGGCCTCTGCTGGTTCCTGACTTCGATCACTCCCTGAGGACCATGGTACTCTTTCTCATCTGGCCACTGGAGAACAGCAGAGCCCAGGCTGAGCTGGATAGGCCCCAGCCTCCTGATGGCCACTTTCAGCATCCCACAACTGTGTCCTCAGCCAGGGACCCACCCGAAGCTTACAAACTATCCACAGGTGTTTGCTCCTCAGCCTGTCTCACTGGGACAAAGGTTCTGGGCCTTATCAACTGAGAGGTAGAATATTAATCTGACATCGCTGCCCCAGCCCTGACCTCTGATGGCTACTGCTCTCCTGGGGATATGTCTGTGCCTCAGGACGGGTGAGGTAGAAAGAAGATGGCTCTGAATCAGGCCTTTCCTGTCCCCTTAGATTCCTGTTTGGTCCCTTGAGTAGCTGTCTTCCTTGCTCTCTCCTAGGGCAATTGTCTACACACCAGATTTCAGCTGTACCAGGTTATACGAACTTTGAACTGTGGCAAGACCCTTATTCCTCTGAATTTGGCCCCTGAGCCAAGTGATACCACCTCTTCCTCCACAAAGAACCAGACCCTGAGCAGAACTCATTTGTGATTTGCACTCACCCATACCCCTTGGCTTCTGGTCCAGAGACCACCTGAGGAGGCAGGGGTGCCTTGCAAGGAGGTCCTGGAGACCTCCCCAGGCTCCTATTTGATAGGAGTTGTGGGGGGAGATCCATGCCCACAACACCCTCCTGAGATACTCATTGTATGAAGTGACACTGTCCATACACCAGGCGGTTGCCTTTATGGCCAAGCATAAAAGGTAATCATTGACCACAAGGATGCCACCCTGCGCGTCAGCGCCATCCAACCTCGACCCTGCCAGGTCCTGGATTACTTTACAGTCACATAAAAGGAGCCTCCAGCCTGTTCCCTGAGGACTTTGGCCCTTGAGGGGGGAGTGGTTCCCTAGAGACAACCTTCTCTTATAATATTTCCTTGACCAGAGAGGAGACCCAGGCCTTTTATCAAACACTGGGATAGTTTGAGCATAGCCCACTGGCCACACAGCCTATTTCCACCTGTTTCCCACCACCTGCCTATTTCATCAGGCCCCTACAGAAGCTTAGACACACCCGGCAGGGCCCTCCCCACCCTGGAGCTTGGGAAGTGTGTTTTCCTTTTCATGCTGTGTCTTCTTGAGTCCTTGTGTGCGCTGGACACAAAGAAAAATCTCCATTTCATAGACAGGAAAGCCTGGGCTCAGAAAGGTTGAGTGACTTGCCCCCATCACCCAGCTTTAAAAGAGCCAACCGTGACAACAGCATGGTCTCCTGATTCACCAATGTACACTACCATTGAAAAACAACTCTTAGCATGCACCTTAAAACGCTTCCTTGTACTCGTAAAGCGTATGTCCTTCTGTCCTGTGATCAAAAGTCTATGTATCACTCATCAGCAAATGTCAGCACTGTAGTGCTGACTCTCAAACCAGATCAAACCAACTCAAACGTTCTTCCCAAGCAGGGGCCTCTGGGCTGAACTTGGGAGGCAAAACAGGCAGGCAACATGTTAGGGAAGGACACTGCCTGAGAAGCAACAATGGGAGCAAAACTCAACTGGCACAAAATGACAGGGAATGCTGGACACAGGCAAAGCCCTGGGGACTGGTGGAGCCAGAGACTAACCTTACCTGGTAGTGACAGGCCTTGTCTAGACTGTTGACAGGAGCCACACAGGGTCTCTGAGCAGAAGTGTGGTTTTGCTAGAGCTGGGTTTCAGAAACTTCTCTCTGGCCACAGAGAGAGTAGAGAGTGTGGAATGCAATCTTAGATTAGTATTTCCCAAGCTTCGTAAAGCAGCCCCTGGGGGAGGCGAGGGGCGTGAGCCAGGAGGCCAGTTGGGGTTGTTTCCCCTCTGGGTCTAAGTACCTGCTCTGTGTTTACCAGCCTCCCTACCCTGGGTAGTTTCTGCCACCTCAGTGGCCTTGGTTTCTCACCTTGTAAATGCAGATGACAATAGTACATAGCCTATAGCTACTAGGAAGAGCTGCTGCGGTGCCTGCCTCACTTTCCAGGACACAGCAGATACAAATTAAGTGCTGGCTTTCCTAGTTACTATGATACACCATGCTCTTCACTCTATTTGAAGTTCAACCCAACCCCTCAGATGCAGGCCAAACTTCATCCTGAGCACCAAAATTCTTACTGCTTTCTCCTCTGGGCTTTGCCTAGGTCTGGACTCCCACAGATGATAAGCACTTAGCACATCACGTGGCAGTTGCTGGCTCGCATATCTGTCAACCCCATCACCTTTGTGCCTCCATTCCACACACTAGGCAGGTCTGGGTAAAATTCTGTGGCTTGGCTTAAAATGACATAACGAATGACATAGCAGTAGAAGACAGAGGGGGGAAGGGAGCACCACGTTACAGACACTCAGCTAACCTGGTCATGTGCAGGAGCTATCAAACTCCCATCATGCAGCAAAGTAGCAGTGGCAGACAGGGGGAGGACGAAGTTTACACTCCAGCTACAAATATCTCAGGGTTGGGAAATAGCTTAGTGGTAGACCACTCAGGGCCAGAGGCTCCATCCCCAGCTCTGCAAAACAAAAGAAAACAAACAAACAAACAAAAATCCCAAACAGACCGGCAGTGGTGGCACACACTTTAATCTTAGCACTTGGGAGGCAGAAGCAGGCAGATTTCTGAGTTGAAAGCCAGCCTGGTCTACAGAGCAAGTTCCAGGACAGCCAGGCCTACACTGGGAAACCCTGTCTTGAAAAACCAAACAACTCAGCAAACAACGACAACAACAGACAGCATTTCAAAACCCCTGGCAGATTCCGAGATCCACTGTCTTCACTAGGACACACAGGCTGAAGAAACGAGGGGCATCGTTGCTCACGGCTGCCAAAGCAGCGAGGCCAGAGAGAAGACCGCACCTTCGCTCCTAGTGCTGCCACTTCCTGCAGGTGCCAAGCGTCCATTCAACTCAAGTTCAGTGTCTGAAGCAAGCCACGTGACTGTTCGCCTCAAGACCATATCGTCAACTGCAACTGTCAGCCTAGTGCCCCAACTCTGCACAAAGACCACCATCTCCAACTCATGAACAGCTGCTGTTCCCAACAGGGACCGCAAAGCCCTCGCTGTGGCTGAGTTGACTCCACCTCCTGTGTCTAGAAATGCTTTCCACAGGCACCCACACACCAGAGTTTGGGCCGGTCCTTATCTTCCAGGAAAACTGAACTTGGGGAGGAATCCCACCTTGACTTTGGTGGAAGTCACAAAGATCACAGCCAGACTCCGTGGGCTGAGTTTGCACACCTCAGGGGGTGCACAGAAAGAGTATGCATGTAGATTCCCCACGTATGTTACCTGCTTTCTCTAGCTTCACCTTTCCTTTGTAATGGGGTTATTTGGGCTCTGAAGGGAGTCAGCTGCTGTGTGGGGAGCTGGGGTGCAGGGGCAATGACAGATAACACCACAGAGAGACACAGAAAGATTAGGAATGTCTCTTGAGAGTATAGCCCCTGTTCTCACCAAGGACAGATCAATGTCTAGTCTGGGATTCCAAGTCTAAAAAAAGCCTTCCACAGGGCTAGGAATGTAGCTCAGTTGGTAGAGTGCTTATGTGACATAAACAAAGCCCTGGATTCAATCTCTAGCCTGAAGAGGCCAAGAAGGATGGCGCTTCCCTGTAACCCCAGTGCTAGGGAGGTAGAGACAGGAGAACCTGAAGTTCAAGGTCACTGTCTGCTGTAAATCAAGCTCAGGCCAACCTGGTAACCTGAATTTCACTCTGGGAACCTAAGTGAAGGTTAGAAAATGAACTCCAAAATTGTCTTCTGGTCTCCAAACAACATGGCATATCTCTCTCTCTCACACACACACACACACACACACACACACACACACACACACACTATGCATATAGTGACAAACACACAAAGACAAAAAAAAATAGGCCCTCCCCTCCATGAGTGTGGTGAGCCCAGTTCCCTGTGAATTTCAGCGCACAGGAATGCCCTTGACCATGGGCGCTCTTCATTTGGCGCTCTGCTCAGAGGGAGGAAGGAGAGGGCCTTCCACGCCATTAAGCAAAGGGTTAGAGGGTGATGGAGAAAGAAAAAGGCAGGAAAGTTGGAGAGAGACCAGGAAGACTTACTCAAACTGAGAGGGTGGACACTGCCAAGGTGTGGAGGCTGAGGGCCAGTGAGAAGAAACAGCTTGGAGGCCTCCTGCTTACGCATTTGCTCTCCATGCCTCAGTTTCTCACAGGTTTAAAGGGGTTAATGGGAGCCAGAAAGTCACAAGGCTGCTGTAGGCATGAGTGAGGTTAGAAGAGCTTGTCTGGCCTTCCTAGTCCTGCTCCACTTCCCTGCTGTCTGTCTCTTAAGGCTTTCTAGGGCACAGGCTGGCTTTCAGATTGGAGGTCTTAAAATATTAAATTAAATGTAAAGGCCCTCTAGGAGCTCACAGGCTGGCTGGCTCACCATTCAGAAAACAAAGGAAAGCAGTGGATTTGGAGAATGAAGAGCAAGGGTCCAAGTGGAGGCAGGAAGGAGCCAGAGCCTCATGCTGTCGAGCTGGGGCTGGGTACACTGCACACTAGAATACAGGCCCTGATGGGTGACTGCTAAGCCAGTGAGGAGCAATGAGGGTGCTCCAGAGAGGACAGAAAGGAACAGCGGCTGAGCTGGGACTAGCCTGGGGAGCTGTGATAAGGATAAACAGAAGTGCCAAGGGGCCATGTCTGGTCAGCCGTGGGTGGGCCAATTACAGCACCCAGGTAGTTGTGATGGACAAAAGACAGACACTGGGGATTCAGAATGCTGAGTTCACCAGTGCCACCAAGGTGCAAAGACAGCCATCGCCTCTGGATAAGTTCCTAGCTCCCCTATCAGACACACCTGAGCACTGTTCCCCACCACCACCACAACCCACAGGCCCCAACTGTGTTGACAAATGGGCCCTTCCTCCCGCCCCCTGGAACTGAACTGTGACATTGTTAGGCTGGAAGTGAGTCATATGGTTCTTCCTTCCTCCTCTTCCTCTCCGCTTTGCTTGCAGACACCCCTGCATTCCCATTCTCTCAAGTCCATCTTTTAAAATCTATGAACTATACCTAAGTGGTCAGCAACACAAATGCCCCAATCCAGGCGGGGGTTCTGAGGAGCCTGGCAAGGGCCTTGGATGTGGGGCATGTATATATGGGGAGGCAGTCTGGGACGGCGGGCGTCTGGACCTGTGAGCTTGCTGAGGTCAGGAGGTACCTGGGACAGCTCTGTCTGGGAGGTTATGGTTGGGGTGGGAGCCTCTGGGGCCATTGTCAGAAGTGACATAGGTGTACATTTGTCCCACGCCCTGCTAGTGAAGGGAACTGTGTGAGTGGCGAGTGCATGCGGGCCCCAGGTCCAGATGCGTCTTCATGAACATCTGAGTACTGAGTGTGGGAGAAGGTGGTTGCCCTGTATGGTGGTGGTTACCCTGTATGGAGGAGTGTTTCTGTCCCTGGGAAGGAAAGGGGTTGGAGAGCAGGGGTGAGGGTCCTGGACAGCCTGCCTTGGCCTTTGGTTCTGCAGGATGTGATCGGGCTGTTCTTGGAATGAGTCCAACATCACACCCTCCAATCCATTTCCCTCAGCAGGGCCAGAGTGTCAGTGGCTGTGGTTTGGCGTCTCTGTCACTTTCCCAGGGGACTGCACTGGGTGAGAAAGCTCATTTCATATCCTGAGGGCCTTGCAC